TAGCACATCGAATTCAGATTGGTAGAATTCGCTGGCTGGGGCACGTATTGCGTATGCCCAGCTGTCGTCTGCCGCAGCACGCTTTATTCGCTGTAGGTAATCCGGGCTGGAGGAAACCACGTGGAGATCAACAGATGATGTCGCATGAAGAAATGCACAGAGCCATTAGGTTGAATAGGTGTCTCGCGGCTTCCAGGTTGAGGTCTGAAAGACCGGTTGGTTGAATATGGCAGCGAACAGGCAGCAGTAGCGTTCTTGTTATCGTTTCTTATCAGGCCAGAATGCTTGAAACGGTATGTATGCAGAGTTGTATTGCGTACTCTGTGTGCTGAAGGTTCGCCTTCTCGCTCCCTCAAAATAGGTCCAATCCCTGTCCACTTTGAATATTAACACCAACCTTGTATGAATAGCGAGTTTGGCAGCGACCAATGAGGTTCACCTTACTGTATTTCGCTGTACGATGATGCTGTTTGGCCTTACTGGTAAGATGCTGAGTAATATCCAATGGGTGGCGTAAATAGGAGGTACCTGAAATTATTCGGGAGTGGCAGGAAGAACTAGACAGATGGGAAAGAGTATTTTGCAAACGGGTGACTAAGACTTTGGAGTATGACATGCTTCGCGGTAGCCCACACCGGCGAATAAAGTTTTCTTTGGGTACCCTAATCGAAGCCTACGGCTTTAAAGTTTGACGAACAAGGCAGTGGGGCGGAGATCCAAAGGGAGAGCGTGACGGAAGCACCCGTGTGGGGACTTCTAGAGACCTGTCACGCAAGGCCTTCGGGTTTTGGTTCAGTGTACTGTTCGCTGGTGCGTTGATTGTTGGTTTGCTGTTCGGTATTAGCCCCTGGTCTCATGCACTCAATGAGGCTAGTGGATGGGACAGCATCTTATTAGCTGGGGGCGGGAGGTAGCTGTCCACCGTCCAACCATCGAGAGGAAGCCCCACGTACTCCGACCCTACGTCTACCTAGCGGGGAGTTTTGACCGGTAAACTGCCCCTCCTCGTGCGTGTTTGCTGGAGTGACTTCTCCAGGGGCTAGCGTGGATTGTCAAAGGAAGCCCAAAGGAGCCTAATAAGCTTGTCTTGTGAAACAGAGCTTTGTTTGATCTCTGACCATTGCAACCTTCCAGGCATGCTTGGATCTGCGGTTGTGAAAAGCCATCGCAGGATCATGGAGGTATGCAAGTCATCAGGCCGCGTCAAAGTTCAGTCTGGCTATGCAAAAAAACGATAATCATTCTAAGGCTAAGAAGCGAGAGAGCTGCGAAGTTGTTAGTCAACAGAGTCGTATTGCTAGAACGAGTATGAAGCTGGAAAAAGGGATGAAATGAGTAAACAGGCAGAAAATGAAATACGTCAGTGGTGGACCAACGTGGTAACTTTGAACTTGTTCTGGATGAGAAGCAAACATGGAGTTCATGAGCCTGGCCGATTCAGTTCAACTTCAACACTTGTTGACGAGATACCTTATTGTTTAACGTTCGACTGGTGAGCTCTTCAGATCTCCCGGTTCGTCCGCACGACCGGGAATGTCACACAGTCACTGTCGCTTGTTGAGCGGGGTCAATGCTCGTATTCTACGTCCAACAGGTGATTAAAGTACCTGGGAAGTATGACAGTTATTTATTATGGGGTTCGAATCTCCCACAATAGTGAAATATGCTTTGTCCATATTATCCTCAATATTCATCGGTAAAAGGGTAAAATGTGAAGGATCAATACCATTTGGGGAGCGATTCGGTGTGTGAAAGTAGTCATTAGAAAAAAGAAACCCAAGTTTCTTTTACATAGTCTGAAATCCGCAGTTGGTGAAATCTAAGAAAGAAAGACCGATGGAAACGGAGCAGGAAAGATAAGCATGGTGAATTATGAGACAGTACTGATTTACACAATCAGCCACAAGATGAAAGGAGATTTTTCATTATGACCTCGACGAGCGATGAATACGAAATACCACTGCGTTTGGCGGTAGATTTTAAAGTTCTTGACAAAATCCTTGTAGAGCAAACCTTGGACCAGTACCGGGGAGCACTAGGTTCACTGATATAGTACGCGGGAAGAGATAAATTTTACTGTCATGCAGAGGAACGGTTAGAGAACGCAGTCCGGAGGTGTAAAAAGTTAGCTTTCTTTCTCAACGAATGTCCGGTCAGCATGAGTTCCTTTGAAATCTTTGGACAGATATTCAGCAAGATATTTAAAATGCTGCTCTCGGTAAACAAGTGAACCAGCGACGAGAAAATTAACCGCCATTACACGGGATGTGGATAATTGGTCGATTGCAAACAGGATTTCGCGGTATTTCGTAGGACACGGAGTGTTGGAGCGGGTTTGTGTTCTTTTTTTATCACACACATTTGTGTGATGAACAGCAGACGGGGTGAACTCCATAATTGTGAAGAACTGTCATTCAGTGATAGAAACCGGTACCTAAGCCTCGAGAATAGGTTAGGCGTGATATTGAACCGGGCTGTATGACTCATTTCTGGTAAAACGTATGTTCGTATCTACATAGATTGATTAATGAGGTTCATTTTTATCCCAGGGAATTTCACACTAAACAAGGCTTTATCGCGATCCGCAGTCAGTTTAGACAATCAAAATCGGATTATAGTTCTAATAGAACTATAACAACGACAAACGTATGCGTTCACTTGAAAATACACATATAAGGATGGAATCAAAGTAAAAACAAAGCGGCGTGCGATTTGGACCACAAACCCAATCCGAACAATACTCACCTGCAATACTTGGTATGTTCCTCATAAAAATTGGTTGTCCCTGTCGCCACTTTGAGAATTTGAGTAGAAACTTCACCTTTCGGTGTAAGCCAAACATCCTTTTCCACATCATAGTGACGAGCAGACAACAGGAACAATGTGCTGAGCACGACACCTTTGAGCAGATTGATTTGACAATCCTGTAGAAGTATTAAAACAACAAGAATGAGTTAATCCCCACCCGATCCAAAGTAGGGAATATTCCCCAAATTTAAAATTTTACGGTCAGTGCTGTTTTCAAGGGACATTGTTCAATCTTTTGGGCAGAACTGCTTCGTTTGGCTACCATTTACGGGCATGATGCAAACGACAAAAATTAAGCCATGTGAAGGTTCACTTATGAGAAGACCGAAGTAGTAGATTTCTTGTAGGTTTTGTAACATTTATGCGGCCGAATTATAAGTGAACTAGTG